ACTGCTCCAGAGTCCAGTGTCTGTGTGCTTTACACACTCTGTCCCACGCATGGAATTGTACTTGATGTTGTAAGGCTTGCATGTAGCTGCTCGGCCATGGAAACCCATTCCATGAAGCTCCTGCCACACAATTTTTGTGCTGATATTAATGCCAGTGGAAGTTTGGAACTCTTCAGCTTTAGAATCAGCAGAGCATTGGTGACTTTTACATACCATTTATTTCAGCACTCTGTGACCCGCTGTCTAGGTGTTTCTCAATCAGGTACCTAGCTCATGAATCAGTATATCATGTACACAAATTCGGGCACTGGTAAAGACAGCAAGGACCCTACCTCACTACACGCTGGTGACTCCATTTCCGGCAACAGACTTGACAACAAATGGCAGCATAGATATCTATTAAATAAAAAACTATTTGATAGTTTAATTGTTCTGTTTTGCAACATTTCAGCTAAATATTAATTATATATGTTGACAAGAGTGCTACCTTATGCTTATTTTTTAAATATACCGTATTGGCCCGAATATAAGACGACCCTGATTATAAGACGACCCCCCTTTTTCCAGATGTACCTTTTGGAAAAAGGCTTTTTAAAAACCAAATCTTGTTTTTTTCTCAGTAAAACACATTTTGTCTTCAATTATTTTCATATTGCATATTTTTCCTATTTTAATTTTTGTTTTGAAAGTATGGTAAAAACTGGTAAAATGTACCAACGATCACATTAAAAAAATTTACACTTTTTGATATACCATTAAAAAAATAAAAAACCCGGTAGCCCATCTGAATTAGCACATTTAGGCTATCCATCTAATAGTAGCCTACCAACATCTTATTAACAGTAGAAGTTAAATCTTACTGTAGTCTTCAAATCTGGGTACTGTCTTACGTTTTAAAATCACAAAGGGAGTTTTTTTCTTAGTAAAACACATTTTGTCTTCAATTATTTTCATATTGCATATTTTTCCTATTTTAATTTTTGTTTTGAAAGTATGGTAAAAACTGGTCAAATGTACCAACAATCACATTTAAAAAATTTACACTTTTTGATATACCATTAAAAAAAAAAAAAAAAAAAAACGGTAGTCCATCTGAATTAGCATATTTAGGCTATCCATCTAATAGTAGCCTACCAAAATCTTATTAACAGTAGAAGTTAAATCTTACTGTAGGCTTCAAATCTGGGTACTGTCTTACGTTTTAAAATCACAAAGGGAGTTTGGTC